TTGGTGGAAAGAATATCAAAATGGCAAAGGAAATACAAATCTTCGTTGAGAGCCTTGGGGTATGCAATGTCCATCAGACATCCACTAATCGAGCTGGGAAGCCACAATTTACCGCTTTGCGCTGCCAATCCAAAAGAATTCATAAACTCGATCGCCAACACGTGTCATGATTGGAATGCTATCAAGCCATCCCGAAGAAGGCCCCATTTGGATATTCTTTCCACCAACTTTTCCCCCTTTGATTTTCGGATTTCCACGCCCTCCAATTCGACTTTGCAAACTTGCTTTTGTAGTTTGGGCCTTTCCATTAGCTGTGGCAAAAAGAGCCCCGGAATTTTTCCGTGGCTATCCAACATTTCGCTGCTCAAGGATTGCCCGCAATTCTTCCCCCCATCCTTGAATAGTTCTGAGTGTGTCAATCAGAATTGGATTCGGTATACGATATCTGTTGTGCCGTCTTCGGTGTCCTCAATCATTAGCCCGTGTCCCCACATTTACAGCGTCGTTGCGGAGGGAGACCCATTTTTTATTTTGAAAAACTGTTCGTTCGTTTGGAACGGAACTTGCTCTGCCAATTTGAGCGCAAAATTGAAGACCAACATCGAGTTGGCCGCCGTTAATGATTCCAGGAGCTCGCTCCAAGTTATCGCATATTCTGTTGTGCTTATTTCTGATGACCAGCTAGAGCCGCTTTGTGAGGATCCCATGTTGATGCACGGATCTGTGTCTTGGATTGTCTTTTCTTCTCGGGAAAGTGGCCAACAAATCTCCAACTCTTGTCCTTATCAAGAAAAGCTCGAAAAAATCCTGACCACCAATCACTCGTTTTTGGGGATGATTGGCCTGGGCCACAAGCCGCTTCCAGAAATTCCGGAATGTCTTGAGGATTTTTCGCACGCCGGCGTCCGATTTACCCTTTATTCTAACGAAAATGAAAGCCACACGCGATCTCTTGGTCGCAGGCTGGGCCTTGACTCGGATTGGAATTCATGCATCAATCTACTGGATGAGGTTGTTGATGGTCGCTTTAAAGAGTGTCCCGCACAAAATATCGCACATTGTGGAGCAGGTAGACCTCTCCCGGTCGGTATTTCTTGCATCAGAAACCATTTGCGGTCTGTCGATAACTTGCCCCTGTTGGTGTCTTTATTTTCGTCTTCCACCGTCAAAGAGACATCCCAAATGCTGTCTATTTACTGGGAATACAACGAAATCCCGATGTTTTGGGGCTCTTCACTTTCGGGGTCCGAACTGCTGCTTCGAGACTCTGCAGCGTTGTCAATTATTGTGGATCCTATCCCTAGGATGCGCATATCTATGCTCAACGAACCGAGCCTCACCACAGCCAGCTCTTCATTTAACCTATCGATTGTGATCCAACGCATCTATTCGTTGTTGGCGCCCTCGTTGCTGATGAAGTACAACATGAAGCCATACATCATCACTCAGATGATTCGAGAGGCTCGATTGCTCCAGATGCACTACGAGATGTTCTTTTCCGTGTATGCAAAGCTGCTATTTGCGTTCTTTGTCAGTGGCGCCGTTTGCGAAAATCAGCTTTCCATCGCGACATTCTGCTTTGGCGTATTTCCTGCCCTTTCCATCGTTTTGTTGTTCCTTATCGACATTGTACCTGGGGACACCGATGTGATGAAAAAACTTCCAAAAAGAGGCTGGACAACAAATCTTGAAAGCTCGGATTACAATGAATACGACCCGGAGCTTGAGAATGTTCCGCACTATTTTTGGTCCACATTTAAGCTGCTCAAATCGTGCGTCTCGCTCGTGGGGATGCTGTGTTTCTGCCGGTGGAAATATTCGCATGATGTGGCGCTTTTGAACTGCTCCCTTTTTGCGGTCACGTGTCTTTGCACGCTATTTGAAATTGGCTCTCTCAAGCCGTTGGGGTCCAAAATCTCTCAAAGCTTAATTTTGACCTTGTCTGGCTGGAATGCAGCGTTGTTTGTGATTGTGCATTTTGTTTTTGGCCTGCAGTTTTCCGTTAATGTGGACATCTTGTACATCATCCCGATGTCGTTCATTTGGTACTATCTAGATGAGGATATGATACATGCGCCGCGTAGGGAGCTTGAGAAGAAGCTTCAAAAGCTGAGAAAGTTGGAGTTTAACACACGGTTGGGCATGCACTCTCCAATATAAGCCTGCGCCTCATCCAGTGACCCCTTTGTTGCTTTAATTCGCTTTATTAATTCCTTATCCGCGCATCTTTCTGCGGGTTGATTTGGGCTCATCCTCATTTTTCTTTGCCGAGTTTTTGGCCAAAATGGTGGCCAATCTGATGAATATCGAAACGGCATCCATGAAAAGCTTGAGAGCATCTTGCACAGTGTCATGTTGATATTCCGAATTGAAATCCGTGCCACGGTAGCTCTCTTCAGTGGACTCGATGCGCTCAATTATCACTTGCGTGTCGAAAAGCAGAAATCCGCAGAATGCTATCAGGCCTGCATAAAGATCAATGCTGAACAAAAGCGGAGATCCAATAAAAATGTTCATCAGTCCCAGTACGGTGAGCACGGACATGGTAGCCATTAGAAACCCGCCCAGAAACAGAAATGATCTTCGTTGCGAGAAAATCGCGCTCGATGAGAACGACACGAAAATTAGAGTTGTCAAAAGAAATGCGGTGGGCACGATCGAATCATTTGAGATCGAAACAAGCGTATCAAGCAAAGGCCCAAGCGACAGCCCATATGCAAACGAAAAGGCACTGAGGAGCCCCACGCGCAGCGTGGCTCGGCTCGGATCGCCTCTAATGAACGGATATCCAAAGCTCAGTGAAAGAAGTGCAAAAATAGACACCATAAATGACAAGATTCCACCCTGGACATACGGGATCACCTGATAGATGTGAATATATGCTCCTAGGCCGGAGAATGCCGTGGACGACGCTATGGTGGCATAGGTTCGCGACAGCTGTCTTCTAGTGGCTAGAGACCTAAAATTAAACAAAATCGCATACAAATTAGATGCCTTTGTAAACGTGACAAATGGGTCCTGGCTGTCACTCTGGGGTCGCTTTGGCGGCGGGGGCGAGGCAGTCATTTGATCAAAAAAGTTTAATTTTGCCGGTATTTTAAAATCGGCCGATTTTAATGAAAGTTACAGCCGAATTTACAGGCGGGCTGGAGTATTTGTTTGGCGGCCACAAGACCATTCCATTGGAGCTCCAATCGCCAGCATTTATCAGGGATGTTGTTGCAGCCCTTGTGTCTGATCATTTAAAAGAGCGGAAAGAGCTGTTTATTGCAGAGAATACCGTGTAAACTTTCCATTTAAGGTTTTAGGCGGCCCGGCATTCTCGTCCTTCGCAACAATACAGACTGGGAGCTAGAGGAGGGTCAAGACACGATGCTTTGCGGAAACGACGTTGTCACCTTTATTTCTACGCTCCACGGAGGATAAGCGCTCAAATTTCGTGGTTATTTTTGATGATTAAAGTTTTTCCCGTAAAATGCTTAAAGGACAACTATTGCTATGTCGTATGTGAAGCCGTCACTCGTCAATGTATGTGCAGTCTGTTCACCTTTTTGCATAGGTCTGTTGGTCGACCCGGTGCAGCCAAAACTCATACTTGATCAATTGAAGACACTCGGCATTTCCGATTATTCAATCAAAGGGATCCTGACGACCCATCATCACGATGATCACTCTGGTGGCAACATCGAAATGCTCGGCCTGATCCCATATCGTGTTCCGGTCTATGGAGGGGATTCCAGGATCCCCGCGCTTTCGCACCATCTCTGGGAAAATGTTGAATTTCCGTTTCCTTCGGCTTTCAACTCGGTTTCCAGCAATCAAACGGACGTCGGCTCATTCCGGATGTTAACCCTGCTTACCCCCGGCCATACAAAACGGTCCATTTGCTATGCCATCTTTTCTACCGAACCGGGTGAGGCGATGCACTTGTTTACGGGGGACACGCTCTTTTTGTCCGGATGTGGACGCTTTTTTGATGGCTGTGTCCCTCAAGAAATGCTATACTCGCTAAGATTATTAAAGTCCTTGTCGACATCTATTGCTCCCAACAAGATATTGGTGTATCCCGGCCACGAATATACGCTAAATAACGTCTCTTTTGCCCTCACAGTGGACCCTCTCAATTGCGACCTGCAGGTATTTTTGCTTTGGATTGAGAGCGATAGGAACAGTTTCGCTTTATCAAGGGTCTGAAAAACCCTGTTAGCGTCCCGGGCACGCTTGAAACGGAGCTGAAAACAAATCCTTTTCTTCGTGTGGAGTAAATCTTGTCGTTTAAATTTAGTGATGCTTCGTTCCAAAAACTGATGGATCAGCATGACCCGCTTTCGCTGCTTACAAAGCTACGTGCGTTAAAGGACCAGTTTGTACCCTTGCCTTTGTAAGCCACCGCGCTTTGTGGATCAAGAACACAGGGAGCCTTTGAGATTCGTCATCAATAAACTTGTGTTGCTCGTTTTTCGTATTTAGCATGCTTACTTTGTTGCCGCATCTTTGGGCGTACCGCAACAGCTGCGGCAATTAATCGAGGTCCGCTGCACAGCGTTATGGCGAATGTATAGGGCACCTCGACTGGGATGTGCTCTTGTCAAGTCAAACAATGGCGGGTTTATTGATCCATAAAAAAGGCCTGGTTCTGCAATTTGCAGAAACTTTGTACGCACGAGGGCTGTTTGTTTGGCTTTACAGCATCTTTTGCAAAATATGAGAAGCCGTTGAAGTCATCGGCGAAGAAAGCTTGATCAATTCTTCCTTGAGCAGCCGAATTTCCTCCTTTAGGTCATTGTTTTCTTGCTTGATCTTAACGTGATACTGTAGCTTTTGTTTTGCATTTTGATGCTGGACAAGCTTGTCATTTTCGTCTTTTAAAGTAGCGATTTCCGCGTGCAACATAGTGACATCCTAAACGTAAATCCAAACATTGGTACCCTTTTGCTTTCCTCTAATTCGGCACAATATTTGGTCGAATTTTGTTCGAGAACAGCAAACGAACATTGCAGTTCATTGTGTGCATTTTGCAGCCTGTCTTTTTGTGCAGCCGTGTTTTTCAGCTCAGTGGATAAGCGTAAAGATTCCTAAAAACTTTAAAAACTGCCCATCAGCAATACGTTGTTGGCATTTTCCAAGGCTACCGAAAAATGGTCAATTTTTGCGTTGGCTGTATCAAGTAGCCCTGATGCCACTTGATGGGCTTCCATGCTAGCGGTTTTTTCTTCTTCCAAAACAAGAGCCCTGCTTTTGAAAAGATCTCTCTCAGATGATAGGGAGTCGTTTTTTGCACTCAACTCGGATATTTTCAAAGAAAGAGCCCCGATGTCTTTGGTATATTGGTCCTTTTCTTTGCAAACCTCATTGAGTTGGCTAACGGCATTTTGAAACTTGAACTCCACATCTTCCAACGAAGCTTTGACAATGGCCAGGTCTTTGGAGGACTTTTCACAAATCTTGCCCAGATCTGATAGCTCCTCCTTTTTGTGGTCAATTGATTTTTTCGCAGACTCAAGCAGACCAGATAGCTCGAAGGACCTTTTCACTTCCGTATCAAGTCTCAAGTTGGCACCCCGCAATTCCTGGTGCAAAGCTGCATTTCTTTCGCTAAGCGCCGATATGTCTTCTTTGAACAAACAAATGGAACGATTGGCCTCTTCGATTTGCACGCTACACTCTGAAAGTCTCAACTGGTGATCGGAAATCGCAGCTTCCCGAGCTTTTAGCTTTTCAGTGCAAGCCAGAAGGGTGGACTCTAATTGCTTCATCGCGACGTCCTTTTCACCCAATGCCTCTTCAAGTCTTTTTGAATGCGAACTAATATGGTTGATCTGCTCAATAGATAGCTGAAGCTTGGTTTTTAGCTCCACATTTTCATCTTCGCTCAATCTCAATTCCGACTTGGCACACGCCAAGTGGCCAGAGATGCTCTCCACCGACTCCTCAAGGGTGGATATTTTTACGCAACACGTGCCAAGCCTGGCCTCTGAATTGAAAAGCTTCTCTTCCAACATCGAACATCTGTCCAAAGATGCAAGTCTGGAAGTTTCTGCAGCGGATACTCTTGCCTCGATTGTGGAAATCGATTGGTGAGCACTTGACAGAGCCACCTTTAACTTGCAATTTTCATCCTCCAATGATGCATTGGATATCCTCAAAGCGGACAATTGGTCTTCAAGCAAGGCACAAGAGGCTAGCAGCTTTTCCTTTTCCGCAATGGCGTCAGATGCCTTTTTCTCTGCCTTTTCAAGAGATGCAGTTAACGTCGAGATAGCTTCCATTGCCAAAGTACTGCTTTCGTCTTTGCCAAATTTTGGGCAAAGAGACTCCTCGGGAAGATCTTCTGAAGAGCTTGCTAGCCGTTTAATGGAAACCACTTTGTTGTCCGTAAACGAAGATAAAAGGGCTTCGAGCCTTTGTATTTCCATTTCCTTAATGCCAAGTTCGGTCTGAAGCTCTTCAAAGTCTTCAGAAGAGCCATTCGACGCACGTATCGAGTCAATCTCATCTCTCAGCATTTGATTTTGGATCTGAAGGTTTTCTATTTTATCGTTTTGCTCACTGGCATGGTCGTCAATCTGCATCGGATATTCCTTTGCTGTGCTTTGCCGTCTCAGAACATTTTCTGCAGCCTCTATTGCAGCAGCAGAATTTTCTTGTTCCCTTGCCAAATATTGATCGAGTCCCAAAGAAAATGCCTCTAGCGATTGGATGCGAGCCGTCAATTGAGAATTTTCATAAATGAGCCTAGATATTTCAGGATTCATTTTCTGCATACGCTGGTACTCCAACACTTCTGCCTCAAGGCGCGAAACGATGTCCGATTCTGGGCTTGAACCGCCTTTTTTCAAGGCAGAGATTTCGGACTCTCTGAATTTGATAATCATCCGTTCACTTTGAAGCTGCTGGTCTTTCTTAGAAAGGAGGTCTTCCGTCATTTCCAACCTCAATTTGAGGCTCTTGAGTTCTGCCCCAAGCTTGACGATGCTAGAAAAGTCTCTCGAATTGGGTCCATCGCTTCCGATGGCCATGCTGGTGGACTGCTTCCCTAAAAGTGCATCCTTTAGCCTGCAAATCTCTGCTTGAAGAGCGCCGACGTTTCCGAGAATATCCTTATTGACGATGGCAGTGTTTTTTACAAGTTTTGCACGTTGGGCAAACCTCAGGCTAGATATGATCTCTGCATACGCAGAAAGAGATGGCGACACATTGGTAATTATCAGGGTTTTGGCGTTTCCTCCAAGCGAATCTTTCAAAAGGAATGTCAACTTGGAGTCCCGATATGATATATGCTGTCTTTTTGAGCCTGGTATGGCCGAATAGTTGACATCTAAATGGATTAGAAATTCAAAGTTAGCCACTGGGTTCGGTGTTTGTTGGACTTGTTGCAACAAGGCCATTCATCACATTGGCTAAGGCAAGTAACGATTTGTTGATCGCTCCAGCCTCTCGGAGCCTGGCACCGGACGTTTGGGCTAGCGACTGTCGCTCGCTTCCCGCCAAGTCAACAAGGTTAAATCGAGAATCTCGAACGTCAGTCATGCCGGTGTTTGGATCTGTTGTTCGAGATTGAATGTGCAGGGTGAAGACAGAATGGCTTCTACTGCTCTCTTTGTTCAAAGCGGTGGCCCCGACTGTTCGATTTCTTGCCCCCATCGCAAGTATCTTTGATAACAACAACCAAATTTACCTCAAGAGCCTGCGAAGCTGTTGTGGCCCGCATCTCCAAAGCCCCTTCAACAAATACGCTCTTTTTAACGACATCTTCGCGCAGAGCTATGAAATGTTGAAAAGGTAACATACTGCATGTAGGAATGGCAGAATCCAAAAGGTCATAAACARCCTCATTGTAAATCTCAATCATCGAGCATTTGCAGATGTACTGAACAGAAGCCTATTGCAAATGCATCAAACGGCCAAATAAAGTACCTCTTTTTCTGCATTGCTGATTGAATCGAACATGTACACCAGTATTCTGGGAATAATTCCAGAAACTGCAGAATCTAATTGCGGCGAAAGATTTTCAAACATACCTACGCAGCTATCAGTAATGTTTGGACCGAGCATGGTATAAGTCTTTCCAGAGCCCGTTTGGCCATATGCAAAGATCGTTGCATTATATCCTTGAAGGCAATATTCGGTCATGTTTTTCCCAATGTAGGAAAAAATCTGCTCCTGCGTCGTAGATGGGCCTCCAACGTAATCAAATGTTTGCTGCTCAACACGACCCCCGCTCAGGCCTATTGATGGGTGCCGTAGCAATAAAGAATTATTTCCCTCCACTGAAAGACACTGCAGAGAGGATGCCGATATTTCGGCTTCAGATAAAGGCCGAATTCGGATGAAAATCTTGATATTTTCAGCGGCACATGTGGCTTGGCTCGAAAAGAGCGTCGTTGGCTCAGATTGTGTCCTAGCATGTGAAAACAAATTGCAGCCTTACATCGATGGCCAGTTTATTAAAAGTTGAAATTGTCTGGGACTTCAATTTAAAATATCATTGAAATGTCCTTGAGAATGACATTTTAAATTGCGGTTTATTGATTTAGGGTTAGGATTAAATTATCAAGATGCCGAAAACTCGCTGGGCAATGGCCGCTTCACGCCAGCCCTAAATGCAGCTTTTCGTTCGATGGCGGCTCTTTCTGATTTTGTTCCTTGAGAAGATGGATGCCCGCCATAAATTACAGAAAGAGATCCGACTTCACCTGGAGTCTCTCGAAGGCCAAAAGATTTTGCATAATGCCCCAAGTGCAATTTTTTGGGGTGCACTCCGGCTCGTCTAATAGATATGGGATAGGTGGCATATGCTCTAAGGGACGCTATGAACGCTTTTTTTGCCTTATCCAAAAGAGTCATTTCCCGAGTACAAATATCGTGGTTGGGAGTTTTTCTGTTCTCATTGCTGCCTGAATAGATGGTTGAATCGATGATGGAAATCCATTTGTAGCATTCGGATCTTTTGTCAAATGCCGTGTTGTCCTCTTCATCTTTTACACTAAAAGACTGATCGATTTTGAGATTTTGGGGACAAATTTTTTCATCACAATCGTCGGACGCACTGGACAAACACAAAGCAGAACGAATCGGCTCCTCTTCGTTTGGCATCAGAAGCAATACGGCGTCCCCGCTACCTTGCCACCGAGCGGTGCGGCCAATTTTGTGCTTGTATTCGGACAAATCAAGCGGTGCATCCCATTGGAGGACAAGTTGTAGTTGCGGGAAATCGAGGCCTCGAGCCCCCACACTTGTAGTGATGAGAAGAAAGCTTTCTGACGACGAAAATTTCCTAAACTCCTCGATAACATGTGCCCTTTGAGTTGATGTCTGAGAACCGTGAAGCTTGAATATCTTGGTGTTGAGGAGGGCATTGTGGTTGATGTCTGTGCATGGCGGGCTTTTGGATTGAGGATAGTTTTTRGAAGAAGGYGCGGTATTTTTAGACGCTGGCTCTTGCCTGGCCCTCCCTCCTTCACCGGCAGCGAGCTTTCCATTCCTTTCTTCGACGGAATTCCTATCTACGAGGGAAGTTAGCAGCGAATACAAAAATTCAACCGTGTCGCAAGTAGATACAAATAAAATCGATTGAATGTGCGGCTTTTTCTTGATATTTTTGGACTCAACTAACGGGTTTGCTTGGATGCCGTTACCGATATTACTGCCGGTGCCCTTCCATCGTGAAAATAAGGACAAAAGAGCAGCCAATCTGTACTTTGTTGGGATGGTGGTTATCCATTGATTTAAATTCGAAGTCTTCTGCATGCACTGCTCCTCTTTCACGGGCTCAACATCATGAGGCAGCGGCTGCCGAATAGCATGGGATTTTTCCTTTGCCAGAGAAATCAACACACTATCAGAAGAAAGGGGGAAGCCTCCGATTTCAGAAAGTCGCTTGGGCAAAGTTGCAGAAACAAGGACAAGCTTCCAACCGGTCCTATTTCGTTTGGAATCGATTAGGGAAAGTAATGTTTTCAGTGTTTCCTTGGCGTTTTTGTCATACAGGTACCTGTCAGCCTCTTCGATGACAACCCACTTTAGCTTTGTCAGATTCCATGAGGACGTCTTTTCAAGATGATCTGCAAGCCTTCCAGGCGCTCCAATGACAATTGAAACGCCCGACCGCAATCTTGCCTTTTCTTTTTGACGAGAGCTGCCCGAAAGCAAGGCCCCACACACAAAATGCGGAAGTTTTCTGGAAAATTTTGAGGAAACAGTCTCAAGTTGAACTGACAGCTCGCGTGTAGGAGTGATGATAAGCGCATGAGTACCCTCTGTTCTGGTACTGTCCACCAACTCGTTGACAATAGGAATCAAATAGGCAAGGCTTTTTCCAGACCCAGTGGGACTTGATATTAACAGGTCCTTTTGCAGCTTTGGGTTTTTCTCCAACACCAGCTGCTGGATCGGCGTGAGAAACGGAAACCCAAATTTATCTCGTAGTACCACCTGAAGAGAATTATGAAGGCATTCCATGGGTTTCAAAAAATTAATTTTCCAAAAATTAAATGCCACTTGAACTGTGTGCAATAGTTGTTTGTTGCTGCCTTGGCTTTGGATTTCTTTTTTATCGCAAATTTCTCTTCAAATACGATTGCATTGACACAATAAGGGACGGCACAATCAGGTATGTTGTCGTAGGAGGCTCTTCAGGCGTAGGGAGGCAGGTTTCAAAAGACCTGGTTTCCAAGTACGGTGCTAAACTCGTAATTGTTATCGACGTTAACGAATTTGATGATCATGATGCCATTTATGCCGATTCCATCCGATTCGTAAAATGCGACATTTCAAACGTATCGCAGGTTCAACAGGCTCTCAAAAATTTGTCCAGTGCCTTACTGGTACTGAGACATTCGCTCAAGTGTAGGGCCATCCAGCGGTACTAGTTCTATCCGCAGCCATAGCTTACCCCTCTTTGATTGATTATAGCTCGTCGTCTTCGATTATCAACGAAACCAGAAACCTCCACACGATCTTATCGGTCAATACAGTTGGAATCATCTCATTTCTTTATCTATTTACGCTTAATGTCCAAAGTGCATTTCACGTTATTGTTCTTTCCTCTTGCCTGGGATTATCTGGCGTGGGAAATTGGTCTGCATATTGCACCGCCAAGTCCGGTCTGATCTCTGCATTGGAATCGTTCAGGAGAGATCCCGAAATTATAAAGCTACGCATCAAGACGACGCTATATTGCCCGTTTTTTATTCACGATTCTCCATTGTTTTCTAAATACCACCTGATGTTTTTTTGGAGCTGGCTCTTCAAACCAATATCGCTTGCTCGCATCTCAACGTCCATAATTCACGAATCGTTGAGGATTTCGCCATCTAACCACGAACTATGGATGCCTTGGTTTGTATATTTTGCCCAGATTCTTAGGCTCTTTCCCACATTCGCTTATGATTTTGTTTTTCAGGTAAAATGACATCGTGCTTTCAACGTTTAGGTTTCTGGCGCTAACAATACCATTTCAGCACGTAAAATTTACGAGAATTAAATTTACAAATGTATTTAAAATTTAATGGCAACTTTTGCCTTTGATTGGTTTATTTTACATTATGCCCCCAAATTCCGATCCGGAAATATATGACGGGCCTCGGATCAAGATTCCCCTTGCCTCGTCAATCGAGCCAACGGTCGATATTTGTTCGGGCGTAAACTTTACGCCGAAAAAGCCGCATTGCGAAGGTCGCGCCTATTTTTCGGATGGAAATTCATGCTCCAATTTCACCCCACTGAAGAAACATGTTTCGTTTCCCGAGAACCACCCATTTGCCGATCTGAATGGCACCGCGTTTTTGAAGCATTCGCTGTTGTTGATGACACCCATTTCGCCAATCGACTCCAAAAACAATGGCCTGCTTTCGGACATCGAGTCTGAAGTACTTTTTTCATCCAACAGCCAACATGGCGCCTGTTTTTACGAAAACTCAAAGTCGGATATTTCGTATTGCGAAATTTATCCATTTGCCGATGATGATGCGACCAAATTCGCGGAATCCTCGTCGGTGCAAAAATTAAACGCACTTTTTGGCGAAGAAACGACCGATGACACGCCGCGTTGGGCTCTTTTTTATATCCTCATGTTCTACGAGACATCACGGAGACGTATCTAAAAAATTCCAAACAGGAATATGTATATATTGACGATGAACCGGGGCCCCTGCCAGAAGCATTGAGTAACGAAACTCAACATGGAACAATGGAAAGTGCTCGGCAATTTCCCTCTCATCACAACCGCCTCCCCCTGCATGAGGATTACCTTCCCGTGCTTCCTGGCCGATTTTCTACGGCCGGCCGAAGAGGCTTTCGATGATCACTTTAAACGCAGTGTTACCGTGTTTTCTGGATTATTGCATCTCTTTATTGCTTTTGTAGACTAATTTCTTTAACAGCCTCACCGTGGGCCTTCCATGCGGACAATTCTAAAGAATAAATCAAAAACCAATTCTCACCCAAGGCTGGTCTAGTGTAGATAAATTCCTTACAATTTTTGTCATCTGCTTTTTATTAAGAGGAGTTCCAATCATCACGGAGCTCCTGCATGCTTTGGTGGCGGCAAATTTCTTCATTCTATCACTAAATGTTATTTTAGAAGCAACGCCGGCATCAATAGTGTTATCTGAAAGCTGTTCCAGGAGTTCATGTATGTCTTCCGTAGACGGCGGAAATGGAAGCGAAGGCATTCCTGTCCATAAAACCACGGGATCCAGATTATTCCCCGACGATGCAATCAGAAAGGTGAATCCAAGACTTTCAAGTTCCTTTTGATACTTTGTCAAAACCAATCCCTCCATCGGAGATAAGCTCAATGAAATGGGACTAAAATAAAAAGGTAAAAAGAACAAACCTCAACAGCTTTTGGTGGGGAGCGGCCGTTGCAGATCCCATTTTCAGGGAAGACTTTATGGCCTCGTAGTTGAATTTTTCATCGCACGCATGCTGATCACAAATGTACAGCAGCTTTTCGTTTTCAGCCTTAGAAATGGAGCACAAAATAAATCCGTGGTTAAACTGGCCAACCACATCCATGTGCAGGAAATCTTCTTTCGTGAGAATATAGACGCATTTCATATCCGAAATCGACGAGTCCTCCGAGGAAGATTTACTGGTCATTAAGGTCGATATCTCGGAGCGTTCCACTGATGAGGTATTGAGAACTCCCGTATGGGAAGCTTTGATTGGGTTTGAAACCGCTTGAAAAGGAGAATTTGTTTGGTCTTCCAAGGGAAAGCCATTAGTGGTGGCAAAAATACCACCATTCGTTGCTTTAACAAAAGGGGTGGCTATTTCCTTAGCTCCCTCAACGTGCATTGATGTTTTCTTGTTCGCTTCAAGCGAACAAGCAAGCAATCGGTTGCTAAAGATGCCTGAATCCTGAAAAGGCTCTTTCCCCTCCATATTGCCTTCCAATATGGAGGACTGTTTGTTGCCAGGTTCCGAAGGAGGCATGATGCTCTCACCGGAATGGAAAAAGGAAAGAATGTTTTGAGACGCGCATTTTGGGAATACTCCTTGAGGTTTGGAAGATGCACATGAGACCTCGGTAATGGGATATGACAGAGAGAGGAATTTGTCTTTCAGCTGCAACGTAAGCATATCATATATGTAGTTTTCATTGGTGATAGAGACGGTCCTTTTATCTGGCGTAAAGTTCACATCGACCAAAAGTGGACACAGCTCCAAGAATAGAATAAAAAACGGCTTTACGAATACATTAAAATCGTCCCTCAACAGGCGGGTTAGCCTTTTCGAGAACACTGGGGGAAACAGACATGGACGCCGGTTGATGAAGAAATACTCTCTCAACTTGAAATCCTCGCATTGCTTCTTGAGCAAAGAAAATGGGTTGATAAAATAGCCTTTCATCGTGACAGGGGGGATACTTGATATCTGCTCCTTGCTAAAAAACAGCGGGAAATAATCCTCGACCAGCTCGACCGAAATCTCGATCGGTATTAGATTTGAAAAGACGTCGGTGCCAAAAATCACGCCAATAACGTGGTCCAATGAGCGACCGTGGTCTTGTGGGATTGAAAAAAGCGAAACGGCGCTAAAAGATAACCAAACAACACACCTACGATTTCGTAGCGCTTGGCGCAAGTTGCGAGCAGGAAATCCCAAGAGACGGTCTGGAAAGCAAATACGACTCTATGAGTCTTGTCAGCATGTTCATCTCCTTGTGGATGTTCTTCTTCATCTCCAAAAGCCGGACCGGTAGCATGTTGAAAAGGCCTTCAGCGATGATTGTCGTTCCCTTCTGTAGATTATGATGGGGCTATTTAAATGGTACGTCTAGCGGCAGTGTGTGGATCTTTTCCATGGTCTGGGTGGAGGCGTTGAATTTGTATTTGAACCCAACTTCAGAAGCCTCCTGCCTCGTCAGAATGTAAAAGGCCGAGCAGAGCGATGCGATGGAATTCAATGCTTCGCCTCGAAACCCAAATGTTGCAAGTGACGAAAGATCGTCGATGGAGCTTATTTTGCTGGTGACGTTTCTCCTGCAAATAAGAAGAGCATCGTGCTCCGAAATGCCAGTTCCATTGTCCTTGACAATCAATCGGGAAAGCCCGCCCTCGGATAAAGAGATCTCTAGCAGTTGTTGATGAACAGCGAGCGCATACCTATACATGTGCCGTTGCTGTCGATCGAGTTTTCAAGAAGCTCTTTAATTGCACCATTGACGGACGTTATCACCTGGCCGGAGCAAAGGGCTCTTACACATTTGTCGCCCAGGACATAAGACATAAAAAGGACAAATTTGCAATTTATTTTTTCCAATATTGCGACCACCTGTGAAGGGTATCGATAACCTTGGGAAATAAATTATTTATGGCCTCTTGAATGTCTTTCTGGAACTTTTCAAGGGCTTTTTCTTCGTTGTATACATAAAGAAAATCATCGAAGCAATCAATGGAGCGGTCCGTGTGTTTAAAGAGGGGATTGGGGTCTGCAATTGCAACCTCTATATACAGTCTTTTCAATACAAATTCTTCTGGGTCCACATTGTAGCCGCCGACGCAGGAAAAGTTATCCACAAGGGTGATTCCCTTCAAGGCAACCAAAAGTTCACGAGTGTTTCTTCGAAGGATGGAAAAAAATTGAAGACACCTGTTTTCAAATATCGGATACAACTCTCCCTCAGCCATGTCATTGTTGCAGGTGAAAATCGAGATTTTCATTTTAAGCGGCTCCACCATCTCTTTGCACAGCTTCATTTGAGGTGCGAATGGTTTTGGATCTCTTCCAAACAAATAGCCATAATCGATGTGGAATAGCTCGCCTAAATGCCCTAATAAGCGAACCGACTTGCTCTTACCATCTTTGGAAAGCAAAATGTTATCCAAATGCCTATCGCCAACGCCAAGAACAAACGTGATGACGCAATAAAATGCGCAAGAGTCGATAAAGTTCCGTATAAACGGGAGGAGGCCATCGGGGCCCAATTGCGTTTGCTGGAAATCAAAGGAATCGGAAAGCTTCCGGAGAAAATATGGAATCAACGAGTAGTCATCTCTGTCCAAGATTGCGGCCAGATTTTCAGAATCAATGCATTCTATGATTCCCTCAAGACGAGGGTGAGAAGAAATGGGGAGAACGTTGTATTTGCGTACCGAGAAGCCCGGCTCCTCCAGATATTTTGATATCAGTCGCTCGCACCATTGGATGAACACAAGTACTCCCCGATCAATGGAAAGGTTATCGCCAGCCTTAAATATAATTGAGTATGGTTGGCCCGTATCTAACACAAACGAGATACGGAATGGAGATTGCTGGCTCTTGTATATGTGTAGAGAGTCTAGAATTAAAGGCAAGTAAAGACCTGGGATAATTTCAACCACGTTGATTGAGCAGTCAAAGGGAAGCGGGATTGGCGGATTGAACGTCAATAGACCCTTACTGGCGAGCAGACGAAGCTTTGACCTGATTTTCGAAATCTATAAAAAAGGCGACAAAAGAAATACTTTGTCCTCTCTAGAGTCGTTTCTACGCGATATTTTGTATGCAATCTTCTTCAGAATGTCAATCAGGTAGGTTTGGCGCTTCAGCGTTCGAAGCACAGCCTGGGATCAGGAACATGCCAAACTTACTTGATCGATTGACCGCATAAATTGCTCCAGCAAAGAAGGCGCCTCAACCTTTACAACCCAATACAGCGGCAAAATAAAGCCACAACTGTCTTGTCCCAGCAGCAGCAGAAAGTGAAACAGACTCTCTTTATGCTGGGCAGGAACCAGATTTCTACAAATGAAACATGATGGGGGCGATGATGATGTACAGCTTCTTTTCGACCACCAGAGACTTGGATAGATAGGGAATAAACTTTAGCAACCGAGCGCAAAGAAGTTGGGAATTCCTCTTTTTGATGGAAAACAGCGAGGATGTACAAAACGACCACACTTCGTGGCGCTTGTTCAAAGTTTGGTCAAGTAGCAGCGAGAAAATGACGACCAATACTTTATCGAGATCCTCTTCCTCCATTTGGTATTTGAGCAGAGAAAGCGGAAACACGCCGTTTGGCGGCGAAATGTCCAGAAAAGATCTCCACAACAACGGCAGTGTCTACAAGTAAACAGCACAGGAAAAACCAAAACAAATTGCGACAAATATTCCTTGTATTTCCAAATGAAGAACGAATCGGCCTTTGATGTCGTGGCAAATGGGAAGCTAGAAAATAGCCACTACATAAAGACTGAAACTTACATGGAGCTTGGACAGAACTTCGGGGTCCTTTTCCTCGACCTTCATACTGGAGGCTCGAAACACGAGGTTGAATGAAGCAAACATCGCCTCCTCCATGGTCTCGATTAGCTTGCAAACTTTGAGCTTGAAAATCGGAGAAATTTCGTCCTCGTGCACGCTTGCATCGATGTTTGCCAAAAATTCCGAGTTAGCAGCAGATGGCAGCCATTTAACTTTGTCGAAAAATTCCAACAATCCCTCGTTGATCGACATCGGATATGAAAGCGCGTTTTTGAGCACCAAAAACTTGAAGTTCGATTTAAACCGCAAACATTGAAGCATCAGTTTCGATCCGCTCAAATTGAAAAGGCATTCTGCAATGATTTTGACACTTCCCGGAATGAAGGCATATCCAGGAAACAGGCCTGGATCGTTTGCCAGGATTAAATAGAACTTTACATTTTGCCACGAGATATGTATGATATCTTCACAAGCGAATCTACGCATAAAGTATAACCAGCTTTCCAACTTGTAGGCAAACGAAATGTACCCGTCTTGCTGATGTGCACATCTCAGGTCATATGTCTCCAAAAGAAGCGGATTGGAGATGTAAAATATTCTGTACTCCATCTGGCTTAAAATGACCATTTGTATGCGCTCTGGAAGTAGTCTACAACGGCAAAAGCAAAATATGCTAACCCTACATCGGACGGAACGCATGCGCCGGAAACGTGGAACCTACAAGCTTAGAAATCAACATTGACGTCACAGTTCAAGGCGCATTAAAGAAACACATTTTTTCAATTAAATTTTTATGGCCAAGCCAGCGTCGGGAAGGGCCGCCGCCAGTCTCAACTCGGTGGTAAAGTTGGTCCTCAATGCAGGGGGCGCAAGTGCGGCCCCGCCCGTGGGGCCGGCGCTCGGCCAGCGGGGCGTTAAGGCGATCGAATTTGCAAAGCAATTCAATGAGCAGTCAAAAAAATACACGCCCGGAATACCGCTGCAGACAATCATCGCCGTCAAGGCAGACAAATCTTTCTCTTTCACCATCCGGCCGCCAACAACATCATATCTGCTGAAGAAGGCATCGGGGCTTTTTGCAATGAATGTTGTCGGCTCGACTTCTCTTTTGGTTGGCCAGATTTCTCCACAGCAGCTTTATGAGATTTCAAAGGTCAAGGCAACAGACCCCTCATTTGCGGGCCTTCCGCTTGAACATGTGTTTTCCATGGTGACAAGCTGTGCCCGGGCCATGGGGCTTGAAGTTGTCAAGTTCCATTCGTAATGGAGACCATTTAGATCAATAAAACCCAAAGTTCAATATTTTATGTAATGTAAAGGAGATACCCGCATCGTGGATCGCTAGCATGTACCCGGTGGTTTAGTCGCCAGGATATGCAGCTACAAGTCCACCACGTGCCTTATTGGTGTGATCATTGGGGAGACCTGTGCGAGATAGGCAAATGACCATCTAAAGATAAAGACACCAAAACCTACGGCAAATACATGCAAACAGCAGTAAGTATGATGCAGCTTTGATACACGCTAAAGATATGCATTTTAAATGTACATTCTATCCGGATATGCTGGGAAAAACAGACAAATCGCTATTGAAAAGACAACCAAGAAAACGGTCACAATCAGAACGGGCACGGCAGAAGCTGACATTAAAAAAATTTGGTCCAACGAGGCACTGGAATTTAATCCACAAAATTTACAAATTTAAACGGGAAATTTGCGCCATTTGTTGTGCTACCGGGACAGCTTATAGTGATGCGCATATCCCATTCGAAGCTTAGAAGTTCGTTTCCAGATTCGACTTCTGTGGAGGAAGATTTTCCCTCCACAGAGACCATTCCTGAAACCATGGTATTGGAGCCCGAAAATTTGTCTCTTCCCAACAGCGCACCATCGAAAGTGGCCAGGCAAAAATCGATATCCAGAAGGGTTTCGTTTGCATCGACAGCAAGGGTCAGGTTAGATCAGCGGTGCCGTTATTTCTAGGGTATTTGAGGGTGAGAACGACTTGCCCCCCACTTTTGAGGAGCACGAGCGTTGCAAAGAAGAAGATTCGTTTGAAGTTAACGTCAATAGCAACGACATGGACATAACGCTGTGCGTCGGGGGTATCATATCATCGGGTCCAGAGCCATTTAAATTCAACGAAGAACCAGAGGTTCTTTCCATGGATGAGACGCAATGTGTCGGCGGCATAGTTCAGGAATTTCCTGAACAGCCTTCTGCGGCAGCGGCAGACATGGAGTTGACATGCACCGTTGGAGGAATCATTGACGATCCCGTTTGCCATTCGCCTGCGTCACCAGGCTTTGATGCAATGGATATCACGCTCTGTGTCGGGAATGTCATCTCGCTGCCGAGACAGCATTCAAATTCCGAGGACATTTTAAATGCGGATCTGCTTTCTTTTGGAGATCCCATAGATGTTGAAAATCCACACGCGGAAGGATCGCACCCGCTACCAGATAAAGAAATGTCTTTACCGGGGATGGGGTCTGATGCACCGACGCAAGACCGCTTTTCTGATGAAAGGGGAAATCTTGTCTCCACAAATTGCAGCAGCTCCGATGAGTTTAACAACCTATTTCTGCCAAAATTATCGCTCAAAACCTGTTCACTGGACACTGCCCTTGCACAGCAACAACAGTTTACCGATGCGGGTACGCCCACAAAATCGGTCATATGGAAAATATGCAGCCCCATCACGGGACGGAAAATCTCGACGGGCATGGCATTTTCGCCGATCACCACGGCAGCCACATCGATGCGGGAAACCGGAACCACTTTTGATATTGAATCGTGCTTGGTGTCTACGCCAAAAAAAACAACCACCGCAAATAAATGTGCGTTGCCCGCTGCAGCTTCACCGTCTTTGTCGTTACCTGTGCAGCAAACGCGGAGAATTTCGAACATTCCCATGACGAATTACAGTCCTTATGTAGAAAGATTGAAGGAGGATATTTCTAAGGTCCGCGATTCTCCCCTAGTGATCGGCACACCGAAATGGCGGTCTATGACTTCACCTCTTCGTAGCCGACTTGTTGAGCTACGTTCATCGCCAACTTCGAACGCTATCTTTAGTTCGCCTGTGAATCACATTTCTTCGCTGTTTGCCGGACTTTCAGAAAGCCAGGATACCTCATTCATTGAAGACATGATGCAGCCGCCATTGGTGGACATTTCTCACTCACCCGTTCTTAGAGCTTTGAAAAAATCAAAGCTCGAGGGAAACACCAGACTGATCATTGAGGATGGACATGCGCAGAAGGCAGAAACCACTGGGCAGGCGCAGAAGGCAGAAACCACTGGACACGACAGTACGCTGAAACAGAGTGTCGATCTCAAGCGGTTTCTTAGCGATGCTGGGATTAGATTTTTAGATAATGTTACATCCAACACCACAAGGCGAGAAACCCTTTCCAGATGCTCTCGAGAGTCTGGAGAGTTTTCGGCCAAAAGACTAGTGCTTCATTGGTGCATATCGATGCCAGAGTGTGAGCTTTATGAACAAAGCTGCGAGGTTTTGGAGCTTCGCATCGCAGATATCAGAGCCGAGCTACACCACATCGAGTGTAAATTCCAAACAGAGCCGCCTCACTTTTACCTCAGCTTTTATGCGCCTTCATCCGGCAGCCAGGAAGAGTGCCGTGCACAAAAAATCGTAGCCATTCTTGATTTTAATTGGTAGAGGCGATTGAGGGCCATCAAAATGCAGTCCAGGACCCTTGTACAGTCTCAATGGTATTCGTGGCGATATTCACTTTTGTTGCCGCTTGTCGATATTCTGAAGACCATCGGTCAAAAGCTCAGCTCGGATTTCCAAGCTTGGGAACACTCGTTTGCCCAGCTTAGCACGATTTCCTCGTCGCTCAACGTGCAAAAGGCCTCTCTGCTCAATCAAATCTCTCTTCTGGAAGAGAGATTTACCTGCCTCTCACAATTTGATTGGGAAAAGTATGGACAGCTGCTTGAGGCAATCGCACAGACAGACGCCCTAATTGGCGAGCGAGAACGGGAGCTTGAAGTTTTACGCGACCACCATTGTTGCGTCCAGATGGAGCTTACCAGTGTGCAGCGTAAAAAAGAGCTTCTTGTGCAAAAAATCGATGTCTTCAGCAAAGAGCTAGATGAGCTGTCCGAAATTTCAAAGCTAGATGCCGACCTTGCAAAAAGTAAGTGCCTTTGCTGAGTTATTAGCAAATTTTGAGCTTGCCATCCGGGCACTTGGCTGCAATCTGGTGAAGGTTGAACGGCACTGTGCTACGTTCAAGTCGAAATTCCTCTCATACTCGTATTGCCTGCAG